TTGTTTTTACAAGACTGCTGAACTAGGAGAATGTTATAGATATTGTTTATCAAAATTTTAACAAAACTTTTGAAATAGTATCTCCTACTATTCCTCTGGAAAAATATGGAGCAATATAGATTAGACAATGACTCAGGTTTAAAAGTGATTGAATCACTGGACAGAGCACCCCCCAAGGACCTGTGCTTTTCTCTGCACAGCTTATCATTTTTATCAATGAGTATTGTGTTCAGTTCCAGACACCTCAGTTTAAGGACATTCCTAAACTTCAGAATATCCAAAAGAAGGTAATAGTCAGTCGACAGTCAATAAACACTTATTAAGCACCTATTACATGCCAGGAACTGTGCTAAGCACTGGGAATAAAAAAAAAGGTAAAAGCCAGTCCCTCCTCTCAAGAACCTCACAATTTAATGGGGAAGACAAAACACTATGCACAAACAAGCTATATACACAAGCCAACCTGGAGACGGGACAGCTAGGTGGCACAGTGTAGATAAAGCTCCGGCCCTGGATTCAGTGAGACCCGAGTTCAAATCCAGCCTCAGACACAAAACACTTACTAGCTGTGTGACTGTGGGCAAGTCACTTAAATCCACTACCTAGCCAACAAAAAAAAAGAAAAAAGACAACCTGGAGATAACCAACATGGGAAAGGCACAAGAATCAAGATTGGAAAAGGCTTCCTACAGAAGGTGGGATTTTAGCTGATACTTAGAGAAGGAAGCATTCAGGTCTGGGAGACAGAATATGAAAATGCCTGCAGTAGGAAAATGAAGAATCTTGTTCAAGGAACATTTTACTGGATCGCAGTGAAAGGAAATAACTTGGAGAGAGGGTGCTTCTCTGAATGACAGAGTGCTGGAGATGACAGAGAGCCACTAGAGATTATTAAGTACAGGGAGAAGAGTGCATGGAGGAATTGTTCCTGGCAGAAGCCAGCTTATCAAATCCAGTAAATGTTCAGATCAAGCAAGAATGTGAAGTCTGTGTGAAAGAACAATGTGAATAAAGTAAAGCTGGTAAGTGCAACCCCTCAGGGTCTTTATATTTTAACCCTGCAAGCAAGGGAGAGTCCAGCAAGTCTGTGACCATGGGAAAACTTGTTCACAAGAATAAACTTAATAAGCTTTAATATCCTGAAAAGACTTCGGGGAAAACCCTGTGTAAATTGGGCTATCTCTTCCACAGTTTGGGGAAGAAATCCCAAAGACATCCCTGAAACGTGCATGCCTGGACCCCACTACTGCTTCTCTGCTCACTCCATCTCTCTTGTACTCCTGGAGCAGTTTCCTAACTTGTTTCTTGGTCTCCCAAGAGAAGGGAAGGTCCTCAAGAGCAGACTGGTTTTTCTTTCAGCCTTTGAATCCCCAAACCTGGAACATAGTATACACACTTAACTTTTTTTTCCACATTTGAATAGCCAGTATGAGGTCTGAAAAAGCCACTGCACTAACTTTCCTTGCCTTCAGTCTCCCCCTCTTGTTTTCCACACCTCTCTGGGGTACTTTGCAGTGTCTCTCCCAAAGGGCAATGGAATGGAAATTGGTCAAAAAATAGTCAGTAAATAAGCATTTATTAAGTGCCTAGTATATGCCGGAAACAGTGCTAAGCACTGGGTATACAAAGAAAGGCAAAGGACAGTCCATGCCCTCAAGGTTCTCAAAATCTGATAAAAGAGACAACACACAAACAACTACCCACAAATAAGGCCATAGGATAAAAGGCCCTATCAATACACATTTTGATCCAGCAATACCACTGCTAGGTCTGTATCCCAAAGGTATTATAAAACAGGGAAAAGGGCCCACACGTACAAAAATATTTATGGCAGCACTTTGTGTGGTAGCTTAAGAATTGGAAATTGAGGCAATGCCCATCAATCTGGGAATGGCTGAACAAGTTGTGGTATATGAATGTAATAGAATACTGTTGTGTGGTAAAAAAGTATATGGGGCGATGGTTTCACAAAAACCTGGAAAAACACACCCATGAACTGATACAGAGGGAAGTGAGCAAAACCAGGAGAACACAATAACAGCAATGTTGTTTGATGAAGAATTGTAAATCACTTGGCTACTCTCAGCAATGCAATGATCCAAGACAATTCCAAAGGACTTATGATGAAAAACATTATCCACCTCCAGAGAAAAAACTGATGTTTTTACCGACTGAAGCACACTATTTTTTACTTTTTTTGTCAAGACTTCTTGCACAAAATCACTAATATGGAAATGTTTTACATGATTGCACATGTATAACCTATGCCCGATTGCTTTCCATCTCAGGAAGGAGAGAGTGGAGGGAGGAATAGAATTTGGAACTCAAAACTTAAAAATAATGAAAAAATTGCTTTTACATGTAATTGGGGGGGGGGATAAAAATTATCTTTAAAAAATAGGGGGCCTGGCTTCCAGTAGCCAAGATGGCAGAGTAAAAACGTAGTCGCTCTCACTCTCTCCAATCTGAAAAGCCAGAAAATATCACCCCAGGAAAAAACCCTGGAACAGCTGAACTAGAAGAAAGACAGAGAGCAGCAGTGCAGCAGCCCAGCAAACCGGTCTCCCAGTGCCTCAGCAAAACCAAGGGAGGCAGACCTACAAGGGGCCCCAGGTGGGTAAGTACCCTGCGGCATTCCCTAAAAAACACAATTGGCCAACTGAAGAAGGAAGTACAAAAACTAGCAGAAGAAAACAATCTGTTAAAAGCTAGAATTGGAAAAATGGAAATTAATGACTCTATGAGACAGCAAGAATCAGTCAAAAAGAAACAAAAAAATGAAAAAACAGATGAAAATGTAAAATACCTCATTGGTAAAACAACCCACCTGGAAAATCGATTCAGGAGAGACAATTTAAAAATTATTGGACTACCTGAAAATCATGATGAAAAGAAGAGCCTGGACAGTATCTTTGAGGAAATCATATAGGAAAAGTGCCCTGAAGTCCTAGAACCAGAAGGTAAAATAACCATAGAAAGAATACACCGCTCACCACCTGAAAGAGATCCCAAATTGAAGACGCCAAGAAATTTAATAGCAAAATTCCAAAATTACCAGATGAAAGAGAAGGTGCTGCAAGCAGCCAGAAAGAAACAGTTTAAATATCATGGAACCACAGTAAGGATTACACAGGACCTTGCCAGCTTCTACATTAAAGGACCGCAGGGCATGGAACATGCAAAGGAGCTTGGACTCCAGCCAAGGATCAACTACCCTGCAAAAATGAGCATGATTTTTCCAAGGGAGGAGATGGATATTCAATGAAATAGGAGACTTCCAAACCTTCCTGATAAAAAGGCCATAGCTCAACAAAAAATTTGATCTTCAAGTACAAGATTCAAGAAAGACATAAAAAGTTCTTCATCTAGAAAATGAGCTGGAGAAGGAAATGGCAAACCATTCTAGTATCTTTGCCAAGAAAACCCCAAATGGGATCATAAAGAGTAGGACATGACTGGACAACAACAACAAGTGAAATCATAGAGACATCCAACATAAAAGAAAAGACATTCAGATGCAAGATAAACATTCTATACTTGAAGAAGTATCTGAGGTATGAATAACTCAATTGCTTCTAGGGCCCAGGCTCCATCTTTCCTCCCCTTCCCACCAAAACAAACAAACAAACAATGTCTAAGAAATTTAACTGACCAAAATGGTGCTGAACACCAAAAGACAAGGTAAAATAACTTAGTGAGGGAACTGGCTTTGAATCAAGAAAGATTATGAAACAAAAACAAAACAAAGCTAAACTTCTACCTTTCGACCGGAGGTGATGAACCTTAGAGTCAAAATGGAGAGGCTTCTACTAATTCTCAGCCCATGATAGTTGCCCTAGCTGAAACTATTGTAGTACCCAAGCTGGATAAAGCACAGTGTGACCCAGACAAGATGTTGGCTGATGGTGACTGTAGCTGCCTATCAAAAAACAAGCCCACAAAGGCCAGAGGGTTGACTTACCCAGCAAGCTATCGTGCCCTGAGAAGAGTCCAGTAGCAAAGTGTCTTGTCTGCCTGTCTGACTGTATTTCAGTGGCTGAACAATTGGTCTAGGAAAGCCTTAGAGCATATGAACTTTGTGAAGAGCCAGTATAACAGCCAAATGACTTACACGACCCAGCTCATCAGTAGACTGACCCACCCAGCTCAGAAACCACACCACACGAGGAACAAGTCCATCATGGCTGCCACTAATCACAAACACCAGCCCTGATGAACAGTGGAGTAACTTGTCCATCACAGATACCACGTAGCGAACTTCTGGAGGAGCCTCTAGAGAAAGGGCTTTGAGGCCCTGCAATTCTGGAGTAGTGATTTGTATCGACCTCATGTGTTTCATATACTTTTCCCGTCGTTCTTTAAGTTTGTGACCACTCTTCCCTCCAACCTCCCAGCGCGTCTGTGTGTAGTGGTGTTAGACCATTCCACTGGTTTGGGGAAAAATTCTTTGTTAACTATGGTTCTTGGTATGCCATTTGAAAATGCCTTTGCCAAAGAGCTAAAAGTCTACTGGCTGATTGGTTTGTTTTGTTATTCTGGCTTTTAAATTAAAAAAATTATTTTCAATTCAGGGAATAAAAAAGGGGGGGGGCTTAGCATTAAGAAAGATCAAGAAAGGCTTCTTGTAGGTGAAATTTTCAGCTGGGACTTAAAAGAAGCCTTTTTTTCCAGGGGCCTTTCTTTGTATCTTGTACCCTCCCCTCCCCCTTACCTCAGTGCCTGAGTGTAGTAAGTGCTTCAATGGTAAATGACTTGTTTTTGGCCTTTCTTTATATCCTGCACCCCCCTGCTTAGTCTAATGGCACACAGTAGGTGCTTCCACACCACATGCCCTTCTATCTTGTGCTCCTGTGAGTTTCCTAAATTGTCTCTGCCTCCAGAAGGTAAGGTCTCCGAGAGCAGGCTGGGTTTTCTTTCAGCTTTTCTGTATATCTTTCCCCCCCCCCCCGCCACGTGCCCGCACACAACAGGCGCACCACCAGCCGCGTTGCCCCGCCCACCTCGTGGGTGCTGGTGACCCCGAGCCGGTAGAAGACCGGCATGTAGATCTCGGACGCGACGATGACCACCAGGGCGTAGGCGACGCCCAAGAGCAGGAAGGCGGCCCCGAAGCGGTACACCTCGGCCGGCGTGCCCAGCACGGTGACGGCCGACATGAAGCTGGCCGCGAGCGACAGGGACACGGGCGCCGCCGTCAGCCCGCGCCGGGCCATGAGGAAGTCGGCCTCCGTGCTCTGGCCGCCGTCCACGAACGCGTAGTAGACGCCCAGGGCGGCCGAGACGAGCAGCAGGCCCAGGAACACCGCGTAGTCCCACGCCGAGAAGGTGTCCGACATGGCCCCGGCTCGCGGGCTCGCGGGCCGGCCCAGGCTCCTCAGCCACCCGGCCTCGAGGACGACGCCCTCACGAGGCGCCTCGCGAATGTCGGCCTGCGCCTGCGCACACCCGGAGTCGTTGGGCTGACGGCACGCCGGGTGGCGCGCATGCGCCGGTGGGACAGCGCGTGCGCACTCAGCGCCCATCCCCGCCCCTTCTGCCCCAAGGGGGAACCTGAGTCTGAGCTGCCCACGCGGCTGGGGAGGCGGGAGCACGCGAATTTGCCTTTTAGAAAGAAGTCTAGTCGTGCACAGGCGTTTGTTTATTAAGCGTTTACTTACAGTGGGGCCAGGCGCTGTGCTAACTGTAGTTCAACATAACTAATTGCCTTGGCAATTCTGGAAACTTGGTAGGGTGGGATGGTAAGCGGAGCACTTGGAGACAGGAAAGTCAAGAGTTCAAGTCCTAACTCCGGCATTTGTTAGCTATGCGCCCCTGAGCAAATCAATGTAATTTATCCCGTATGCGCCAGTGTCCTCACCTGGGGATGATAAAAGCACCCATCTCCCCCAGTTACTGTGAGGATTGAATGAAGCCATATTTGTAAAGCACATAGTAGGCGCTTGAATGCTAGATGACCTTCCCTTCTCTGAACCCAGTGCCTGGCACAAAGAAGACCATTAATAATGTCTTCCATCCTTCCTCTCTTCTTCCCTTCCTTCCCTCCCTCCTTCCTAGAGATACTTACTTCTAAGAATGGTTGTTGTGAGATCTGCATGAGCTAACACAGTAAAGAGCCAAATGCTACATAAATGCTGTTATTATTATAATTTCATCGTATGCGTTTTGTTTTATCCATTTAAAATAATTCAGAAGGGATCCAGAGGCTTCACCAGACTGCAGGAGGTCTCCATGCTACACCCAAAATAAAAAGAAATTAAGAATCCCTACTTTATCCATTAGGTTTGAATCCATCCACTAGAATGTGAGCTCCTTGAGGGCAGGGACTGTCTTTTGACTCTTTGTGTTCCCAGTGCTTAGTACAGTACGTGGCACATAGTAGACGCTTGATAAATGTTTGTTAACTGACTATTGACTGGTTTGGAGGAAAAGTCTTGGGATGTAGAGCCTGGAGGGAGACCCAGCTCTACCACTTTTTACGGCAGCTAGGTGGTGTACAGAGGAGACAGTAATCAGAAAACCCTAAGTTCTGCATCAGTTCAATGACTCTCTGAGAGTCCAGAGGACCCTGTGACATTAACCATATGAATGAGAAGTAATGGACTCAGAAGTCAGAAGGACAATGAGACTTGGTGGGACTTTATTTTATTCACATATTCGTTACAAGGATTTTGTTTTTCTTTTTGTTTTTTTTTCCCAATTGGGGAAGGTAAGAGGGAGAGAAAAACAAATATTTGTTAATTGAAAAATAAAATTAAATTAGACCTGAATTCCATTTTCAAGTCAACAAGCATATTAGCTGCCTACTATATGCCTGGCATAGTGCTAAACACTGAAAACAAAGAAAGGCAACAAATAGTCCCTGCTTTCAAGGGGCTCACTGTCTAATGCAAACAACCATGTACAAACAAGATCTGTAGGGTGTAAACTGAGGATCATCTCAGAGGGAAGAAGCTAAGATTAAAGAGGACTTGGACAGGCTTTACCCCAGGCAAGTCACTGTTGAGGAATTCCTCAACCCAAAGGTACTAAGACCCTCTCAGAGAGTAATTCCTCCCTCCTTGTAGTCCATTTGACTGGAGGTCAATAAATCAGGGGCCAGGCTAGAAGATAAAAAGTTTAATTAGCATCAGCTGATGGGAAGTCGATAGGTAGACAGTAATAACCCTGAACGAAAGGAGAAGCATACATATTTAGGGCTTTACACAATCTTAGGGAGACTTTAGGAGGCAAAGTTAAAAGTTCAATCAGCCTATCAGGAAAGCCTGCTCTGCCGTTTTTCGATGGGAAGTTGAGAAATAGAGACAGGACTCCTCCTTAGTCTTAGGAGTTGCCCAAACAAGTCTACTCTAACAAGGTAAACTTCTCTCTGTAGTTAATTTAATCATCCAAGCTGGTAGAGATCTCCTTCAAAGGAGTACCAGTAGCATCAGCTCATTCTGTCCTCCCCTATTTATAGTATTCTCAGGTTCTGTTACTTTTTCTGGGGAGATGTTTCCCCTAAATTCACAGTACTCCACTTTTCAGGGGAGAGGTTCCCCCAAATTCATCATTTTCTGCTTTCTTTCACATCACTTCAACTTTCAGGGTACTATAGATTTTGTATGGGTAGTGAGGAGTCCCTCAGACTCTCTGTGACCTAAATACTTGAACTATGGTATCCCACACTAGCGGTAGGGGCATTTGAGGAGGCGTCTTGAACTCCCCTCCCACACAAAGGGTAGATGGAAGAAGAAGTCCTTAAACCTGTGGCCTCTGAGTCTAGGAGCCTCTGTGTCCTTACACAACTAAGTGATCTATTTATACTATTTGATTTGTAGCTGAGGTGTTCAACATAGGCGTCTCTAGAGAGTAGGTAGTGAAATAAATGCCATTCAGTTGATATTTATAAACTAAAAAAAAAACTGCAGAGGATTCAAGAAAACAGGGAAAATCAAATAAGCAGGAATACAGTATAACACAAAACACCTACATATTTCTTCATATTAGATGATTGTCTACATCTTAACATGTTTAAAGACACAGTTAATTACTTAATAGGCAAATGCAGATTCCTTTAATAGTATTTCATGATGCTAGTAGTTCTGTGGCAGCAGAAATGCCTCAGATCATCATATGATAACACAGCTCCAAGAATTTCCTCCACTGTGTAATCTGTTTCATAAAATGGTAATTCATTCATTACCTGTGGAGCTATGTGCTGTTTTTCAGACATAAAAGCAAATTCTGTCAGTGTTTCCTTAGCAGTATCTCATGCTTTCCTTCATCCAAATTTGCATCTAGGTTGCAGCTTCTGAGAAGACAAATGTTCGAATCAACAAGCATTTACCTGTACTTTCTACCAGGCACAGTAAATGGCACTGAGGATACAATTTCAAGAATAAAACATTACATTCTAAAAGAGAAGAAGAAGAAGAAGAAGAAGAAGAAGAAGAAGAAGAAGAAGAAGAAGAAGAAGAAGAAGCAGCTTACATTCTCATGATGTGATGGTTCCAAGACTTTCATTTTTCATTTCATCTAGAAATTTTTAGTCCTTTATGTTTCCAGTGCTATCAAGTTATATATGTTAGCTATTCTGTAAAAGAACTCTGTGAGATATTTATCAGTACTTTAATGTAGTGGTTTATTAAGTGAGGTGGAAGAGAAAGCATTATAACTTGCATTTTTTTCTTCTTTATAAGAAAGTAAGCTTTATTAATTTTAATATGTGAATTGATACTGGTGCTCACACTTGGTTTATATTGCCCAGCACAAACCAGAAGAGAAAAGGGAAGGGGAGGAAATAAGCATTTATTAACCACCTACTATGAGCTAGGCACTCTGCTAAGCACTTAACAATTCTCATTTGATCCTCACAACAACCCTGTGAGTCATCCTTTTTTTGGTTGAGAACAGTGAAGTAGACAGAGGTGAAGTTTCTTGCTCAAGGTCACACAGCTAGTAAGTATCTGAGACAGATCTAAACTCAGATCTTCCTGACACCAGGCTGAGTGACCACACTCTGATTAGCAGGCAGATAGTTCAAAGTTTATTTCTCACAGCTGTGTAGCTGGTGGGGGATTCACTCTGTTTTCAGAGTAATGAATCCCAAAGTGTTCATTAATATAATGACAGATTTATACAGTTACAGACATAAGACAACTAACTCTCTCTCTCTCTGTCCTCCATCTCCCCTCTCATCTCTTCTCTTTCTCTCTCTCTGCCCTTTATATCTCTCTTCTATTGCTCTGTCCCTCCCTCTTCCTCTCCGTCTCTCCCCTCACCTCTCTCTCCTCTCACCATTCCTCTCTGTCTCTATCTCTCTATCTCTCTCTCCATCTGTCCCCCTTCCCCCTCAGAAAAAAAAAATGTAAGAATATCACCTGAAAAAACTTCTTTTTTGGCACACTTTTAAAACTTAGAAACATTTTTTCAACCTGTTTAAAAATCTCCCAAATGGAGAATTTCAGTTAAAAATGCAACACCTTCCAATTGTTTGCAAGAATAGCTGTCATAAGGGAAGACAGAACTTCGAGGAAAACCTTTGCATAATAGATGGATGAACTGAAAAATTATTGCTGTGCTTCAGTAAGCACAGCCACCAATGCATTTTTCCCTTTTTCCCATTTGGATTATTGTATCTTGGTGAAGTATCTTTTTAGTTATGGCAGCCATTAAAACCAAATATCAAATTAAACCATACATTGGGGCAGCTAGGTGGTGCAGTGGATAGAGCACCAGCCCTGAAGTCAGGAGGACCTGAGTTCAAATCCAGCGTCAGACCAAACATGACACCTATTAGCTGTGTGACCGTGGGCCAGTCATTTAACCCCAATTGCCTAAAAAAAAGTTACTCCTCTAAATGGACTTTGAGTCTTCCTTAGTGTCTTCACCATGTCAAGAAAAGGAAAAAAAAAAAGTGCTCCCTTCCGTCACATATACACACGTTGGGTGGACTATGGACTTGAACAAGACACATGGGTGGGTTGTGATCTGAAACAGTGGAGGAATTAACCACATTAATGGAACCACCATGGGAGTACTTCATTCCCACTTGCAGATGAAGATGATGAGGCATGGTGATGTAAAAGGTTTCCCCTTGGTGCTGACTTTGGAATAGGGCCTTTTACATCTACTAGTTTCAGCGTCCCCATCTGCAAATGGGAATGAAGTACTCCAATGGATTTGTGGTTCCTAGTGGGCAGGTATTGACGTGACAGTAGTTTCTTGACTCAGCAGCATAAACTCTCCTAGCTGGATAAAACCTGAGATCAAATCAAAATTTACAGTCCCAAGTGGTTTCACCTCCCACATCAAGTTTCACTTCATAGGACTTAAAGCAGGTTGCAGGGGCAGCTAGATGGTACAGTGTATAGAGTAGCAGCCCTGGATTCAGGAAGACTGGAGTTCAAATCTGGCCTTAGACACTTGACAATTATTAGTTGTGTGACTCTGGGCAAGTCGCTTCGCACCATTGCCTCTCCAAAAAATAAAAAATAAAGCAGGTTGCGGTTACTTCTCAAGTTAACATTAATACCAACAAGTTTACAGGCGTAATATGTGTTTAGAAAGATATTCATAATCTCCTTCCGTGAAAAAGTTAAGAAATTACTATTTCCCCAGTCTAAAAACCCTTTCCAGTCTTTTCCCTGACTGAAAGTGTATAGAAGGACAGGAACAGAAGGCCTTTCTTAAGGAAATGGATTAACACCCATAATCAAACACAAATCAAACTCAGATTATGTCCAGATAAAATCATAGCCTCCCCACACCTGAAATGATTGGCATCAGGACTTACCTAAGGTTTTTTTGCATTCAAGGTTAAGATCTTGATATGGGGGGGGGTGGGAGGCTTTTCAATGCTTGAGGAAGTGAGGAGCAAAGTCTTGGAAGGAACTCCAAATTGACTATTTTTGAATACTAACTCAAAACTATTTTTTGACATATTGTGATTTTTCTTCTTCAAGATTCTTATAAATGTAACCTCAAATCATCTTGGAGAAGAAAGACACATTGGAGTATAAGGGGGAAGAACTATACCAACTTGGATATCTCTGTCAGCTAGAAATGATCAGATATTAGATTAGTGACAAAGTTTTTGTCGTTGAGTCATTTCAGTCATGTCCAATGCTTGACCCCATCTGGGAATTAACTGGGTATAATATTCCAGTCTTTTCTTTGGTACAAATCAGTCAGTCAACAAGCATTTATTAAGCAGGCACTGTATGCAGACTGTGCCAGACGCTGTACACAGCAGTTAAGATACAAAGAAAGGCAGAGACCATTGATGCTCTCAGGGCACTCACAGTCTAATGGAGGAGACTGATGCACAGACAACAATGTACGATCAAGTTATATACGGGATAAATTGGAGATAATCAATAGAGAGAAGGCACTGGCATTGAGGAGAACTGAGCAATGCTTTTTTGCAGAGGATGGAATTTAGGTGGACTTGAAGGAAGTCAAGGAAGCCAGGAAGGGGCAATGAAGAGGAAGATAGGTAGGTATAGGGAAAAGTCAATGTAAATGCTCAGTCAGGAGTCGAGTTATCTTGTTCAAGGAATAGCAAGAATGCATTTCCCATTCCCATTAATGTCACTGGATTGTAGGGTATGTGCAGAGTATGTAAGATAGAAGAAGACTGGAAAGGTAGAAAGGAGCAGAGTTATGAAGGGCTTCAAATGCCAAACAGAAGATTTTATATTTGATCCTGAAGGTGATAGGGAGCCCTGGAATTTATTGAATAAGGGGGTGACATGGTCAGACCATTTTAGGAAGATCACTTTGGCAGCTTAGTAGAGAATAGACGTATGCCAGCAGGATAAGGTACTGATCTTTCTTGAACTAAACTTTCAAGCATTCAAACTCTACTGCAGAGAGTACAACTCTCGTGGACTGGCCATGTTGTTGGAATGCCACAGGTACACTTGCCTAAAAGACTATTTTACAGAGAGCTCACACAAGGCAAGCACTCACATGGTAGTCAGAACATGTGATACAAGAACACTCTCAAGGTCTCTCTGAAAAACTTTGGAATTGATTGCATGACATGGGAGAGACTGGCACAGAACCACTAGCATGGCGTGCCCTCATCAAAGAAGATGCTGTGCTCTATGAGTGAAGCAGAATTCAAGTAGCTCAAAAGAAACGTTAGATGTGCAAATTTAGTAGTTAAATAACTACAGCAAAATCAGACATTATAGGAACAGCAAACCTTTATAGCGCTTTATTTCTTATTATATGAATGCAAGGAAGATGCTACCATTATTCCTCCCATTTTTCATATAAGGAAATTAAAGCTCAGAGACTTGGTCATGCCTACACAGCTAGTAAGTTTGGAAGGTGAGATCCTAACCCATGTCTAGCAGGCCCCAGGTCCAGAAGTCTATCCATTATGCTATAATGCATTTGTGTACAGCTTATTAGCGGAAGAACCTAGAATTTCACTCTGGTTTTCTGATAGCTCAATTCATTCTTCTTCTAGATGGTTTCTCTGCCTTAAACAGCAGATCAGGTATTTAAATACTTGAAACCATGTTTAGATCACACTCAGTTACAGAAAATCTTCAATGCTTTTAACATCACCTAAAAGCTCTATGGCATTTAGATGTCCCTAACGTAGTGATTATGTAGCTAATACAGATACAATTTGGCTTTGTCCACCAGACACCAAAATTAAAAAAGAAAGGTGTTGCATTCACAAGTTCTACTTTTGTTAGGGTTTATGTTTAACTCACTTCCATTTCCAGAAGTAGACTCTTCTCTGAGCTAGTGGACAGAGTGAGCTATGTGACCCTGGACAACTTACTTAACCTCTCAACCCCAATTTTACCATCTGTAAAAGAAGGGTATCAATACCTGCCTCAGAAGATTGAATGGCGTAATATACATATATATGAAATGCTTCGCAAGCCATTAAGAACTACATGGTTATTTATCATCATCATCATGGAATCTTCTTTTCCTTGGTTAGAATTGTGTAGACGAGAATTATAGCTTTAACACTCCTATGACATGTGTATTTCATAATTACTTTATACTCAGTTCAAATAACAAAGGGATGCTGGAGGGCAGCTTGGTGGTGCAGTGGATAGAGCTCTAGACTTGGATTCAGGAGGACCTGAGTTCAAATCTGGCCTCAGACACTTGACATTTACTAGCTGTGTGACCCTGGGCAAGTCACAAAACCCCACTGCCTAGCAAAGAACACACACACACACACACACAAAATAGGGGGATGATAAATATGTTTAATTTCTTTGTCAAAACTGGATCATACTTAGATATATGGTACAAGTATGCATTGAATATGAAAAGTTGTGAAATAATGGCACTGTGGCCATATTTATTGGCCAGATAAATAGCTTGGGATGATTTCAATTGAATGATTTGTCAAAAAAATGTAAAATTTCATATTTCAAAAATTGTTAAGAGATTGACACTGGAATTTTATTCACTAATAATAATAATAATAATAATAATGGCTTACATTTCTATAGTGCTTTGTGGATTTCAAAGAAAATACACTCCTGAAAATAGCCTTGTAAAATAACTAGTATAATGCTATTATCTCCATTTTACAAATGAGGAAACTTGGAGCTAAGATTATATAATTCAGTGAATTTTCAAGGATCACACCAACATTAACTGACAGAGCCATAATTAGAACTAAGGAAGGCCTTCTAATTCTCAAATCATACCACATTATGACAGGTTTTAAGAATTACCAAATTAGGGACAGCTAAGCAGTGCAGTGGATAGATCACTAGCCCTGTAGTCAAGAGGACCTGTGTTTAACTCTGGCTTCAGCTACATGCTAGCTGGGTGACGATGAGCAAGTCACTTAACCTTCATTACCTCAAAAAAAAAAAACCCAACACACAAAAAAAAGAATTACTGAGTTACTGGATGCACGTGCCTGTTACTAAATTGTTACATCCTGCATATGCATATAGGCATATGTTGCATATGCCAAAAGAACATGAAGTCCTCTTTGGATTATTTTGTTTTTTTTCTTTGTATTGCTAGTACGGTGCCTCATATGGAAACAGACTTGGGATTTCATTGATACAGAGAATTCCTAGTGAAAGAAACCCTCTTAATTGATGCAGATCAACATCACTCTGCAATAAACGGTCTTAGCACTGAGTGGGCATTGAGAGATGAAATGATGGTCACACAGACAACACATTGACAGGATCATGGTTCTAGAACTGGAAGAGACCTCAGAGGCAATGTTGTCCCACTCCCTTATTGGACAGACAGATCAGGAAATTGAACCCTGTCAGTTTGTGACGGAAGCTGGACAAGAACACCTCTCTCTCTGAGTCTGAGGCCAGCTCTCTCTCTCTCCACTAAACCACATGGGCTCTCAAATATGTAGTTATCTAATTTTAAATAATTTGATAACTCTACTCCCTTCTCAAGTTATACCTTTTGCAGCTCTTATAGAAAAAGATATTTTGCAATAAAATCTTGCAATGAGATCCTTACTTGGATGGGGGGGGGAGAAGAGGAGAGGAAAGGGAGGAAGGCTAAATGTACAACTACTCAGCTCTGACACTATTCAGAGAAATGTTGATGTTCTTACGAAGTAACTAAATTCTTAAACTAAATGAGTAATTTTTCAGTAAGAAAAAATTGAAGAGAAAAAAATCCTAATTGTTTAGAGCAGAGGTGACAAACACTCAGCCAATTGGCTACATGGACCACACAACACTCTCAGGGAACCAGATTAAAATGTTTTACAAAATAAAAAAAATACAATAAAATATGGATAATGTTACATTTTAAAACTAAGTTAGTATGTGGCCAGCAGGGATCCTTATGTATGGATTAGTTGTTGCCCCTTTTTCTATTTGAATTTAGATTTGAATTTGAGGCCACTGGTTTAGAGCATTAGAAAACTTTCCAGATTTAAATAACTGTAAATTAGACTTTCAAGGGCTTCAGTCTGGTTAGATGTAGTGGAATGATCTGACCTCTGGAAGGCGATACACTTTGGATGATAAGTATGCTCTGATTTAGCAAATCCCAAACTATTGGTGACATGGCCCTTTTGTTATCATGGGAGAACTGGGTGGGGGGAGGTCGGCATTAGGACCAAAGGAGGTTGTTCTGGAAAGATCAATAATACAACAGAGGCAGTTATAAGGCAAGGCTTTATCAAAATCTCAAAAACACAGCTCAATTAAAAGTCAAAGCAAGCCAAAGGAAAAACAAAAACAAAAACAGGCAGACAAACCAGATGTATTTTAAAGCAAAATCTAAATTCAATTCAATAATTTTGGAAAGTATTTTTTAAAAACAAAACCACTCCAGTTCATCCTACATCAACAAGGCCCACTGATTTTTCTGCTCTCAGCAGTGGAGTACATTTCAGTGTAGCTGAAGGTAGGGTTATCAATTCCACCATCTTCCTTTGTGTGAGGCTGAGGGTTTAAGATTAGTTTCTCCTAAAAGAAAAGTTAAATGATTACATCAAAATTGCAAGGATTATTGGTTTTCATCTGTGTAGGTATTCCCTCCTCTAGTGCAGATTGCAACTTCCCTATGGAGTGGTGTGCTAGTAAATGTTTAACAACCTGCTGTCCAAAAAAAAAATTTTTAATGCAAGCTTTTAAGTTTAATCTGTATTATTAACACTTTCTGCAACACTTTTTACAAATTAATTTATTTTTAGTTTTCAACATTCACTTCCATAAGCTTTTGAGTTCCAAATTTTCTCCCCTTCCATCACCTCCTCCCTTCCCAAGATGGTGTGCAATCTGATATAGGCTCTACATATAACATTCCTATTAAACATATTTTCACATTAGTCGTGTTATAAAGAAGAATTAGAACCATTATATTCATATACCACAACTTGTTCAGCCATTCCCCAATTGACGGGCATCCCCTCAATTTCCAATTCTTTGACACCACAAAGAGGGATGCTATAAATATTTGTGTACATGTGGGTCCTTCTCCCATTTTTATGTTCTCTTTGGGATACAGCCCTTGAAGTGCTATTGCTGGGACAAAGGGTATGCACATTTTTATAGCCCTTTGAGCATAGTTCCAGATTGTTCTCCGGAATGGTTGGATCAGTTCGCCACTCCACCAATAATGCATTAATGTTCTAATTTTCCCACATCTTCTCCAACATTCACCATTCTCCTGTTTTGTCATGTTGGCCAATCTGATAGGTGTGATGTGGTGCCTCAGAATTGTTTCGATTTCTGCAACACTTTCTTAGGACAATCAACAATAAATAAAGCCCCAATTTACAGTGCCTGTGAATTTCCCAGGTGCCAATTCTTAACATTGAAAATTTAAACCAGAAAGAACTGTCTCTGGCACATCTCCGCCTTTATGCACTTTAATATGTGGTCTTTGTGAACGGCTGTGACCACAAAAAATCACCTCCACCCTTCTGGTGAAGCATGTCTTTGAATTTAGCAAGGCTGGCCTTGGATGACAGAAACAAACACCTGACAGCAAACCATACTCAAAGCCACTCCAGAAGGACAATTTAAACTGTGAAATCAGATAGTTATTTGCAGGGAAGGGAACTAACTAAGCAACTATTCAATTTTGACACAATTTGGGGAAAAAAGTTGCTTTTTTGCAAAGTAATTAAATTCTCAAACTAAGAATTTAAATTCACTCATTTTAATTAGTTAATTAATTCAAAGTCTTAAAGGGACAGAGTTTGTACACCATTGTTATGGTCTGAGAATTCTGGATTCCCTCCCTAGCATGATAAGGTACTAAGGGATGAATGGCAGGAGGAAGAGGAAGGGAAGCTGTGTATATACACAATTTAAAATTATGATGTTCTACTTCCTTTTTTATAATATTTTTAATTTTTTTCCAATTACATGTAAAGAAAGTTGTCAACATTCACTTTTTTTTTGATGAGGCGATTGGGGTTAAGTGACTTGCCTAGAGTCACACAACTAGTGTCAAGTGTCTGAGGCTAGATTTGAACTCAGGTCTTCCTGACTCCAGGGCTGGTGCTCTCTCCACTGCGCCACCTAGCTGTCCCAAACCTTCACTTTTGTAAGATTTTGAGTTCCAAACTTTTTTCTCCCTTCCTCCCCTCGCCCCTCCCCAAGATGGCAGGCAATCTGATATAGGTTATACACATACAATCATACTATTTCCACATTAGATGCTCTACTTCTTTGAAAAGTTCCTTAAATGAATTTCCTATTCTAACAAGGGAATACTGCAGAACAGACATGAATCATTAAATGTCACAAGTTATTTCATGAAGAGATATTCCCTCTAGGTATAATTTGGCCACCCCTTAATTTATTGGGGAGGGAGGTCCACACTTGTGATTTTATTGGTGTAGGGAATTCTTATTGAAGAAACTCCCTCTACTAACTCAGATCTTCAGCCGCTCTGCAACAGTAGTTTTAGAGACCTGCCTGGGCCACTGAGAGGGTAAAAGACTTCCCTAGGCTCACGCTCCCAGCGTACATCATAAGCCCATGTGTTCCTGTCTCCAAAGGTGGTTCTCTTCACTATGATATGCCATGTGTTTCCATACCCTTAATATATGATTTCATAAGTTGATATAATTGAAAAAATCATCATCTGATAGCCAGCTTTCTAATGATGAAATAAACTTGGCTAAACTGGTCCTTGGACTCTAGGCACCAAGTCTTCCATTATTAATAGAATCTGCCTGAGCTCCCATTCCGTTGGCATTGTCTTTAACCTCTGAGAGTCACCTTCACTTCATTGGAATGAAACTTTGGTGGAGATATCAGAAAATCATTAATTGTTTCTTTTCCTCATATTTCCAAGGGGGGAAAAAAAGCTAGGACATGATTACCAAACACAGGTATCTATGTAACAAAAATTAAAGGCAACATACCCTCCTGAAAAAGTCAAAGTTGGATAAAAAATCTTCTTTGGTCAGTAGGAATCTGTCATCCAAACTCTGTTTTCTTCCTCCTGAAAAAAACATAGACATTGCATTTTAGAAAACATAATTGCAGTTAGTCTGTGAAACAAAGTCAATTTTGAATTTCTAATCCGAAAGGAAATCTGTAACTCTTAATGAAGTCCAGTGGTTTTGTAGGTTTTAAAGGACACACAGCATGCCTTTCTAAATACTAGAGAGAGCATAGGCACTTCACAACAGCGGGTGTTGTCTAAAGATCTAGGGTAACTTAATGACTTTATTTCCCTAAGCTCATGAGATAGTTGGAACTGTCTGAAGTCCTTGTGAATATTTTGTTTTGAGGTGCATGCTTCCAGATTATTTTCCCTTGCAAAAGTTAGAAATACCACGTCTCTCAGCATAATTTGCCCAGCAGGAATACTTTGTAACTGGTCCCTCTTTTTTTTTTTTAACTTTTTAAACTCTTTTTTTTACTGGTTACTTTAAACTGTGTTAAAGTCCTTTTAAGAGATCAACAAAATTCGACATGATGTTTTACTTCAGGTTTTTTACAAGGGTCTCAGAGACACCAAGGCTCAAAAAGATTTAGGACAGAATAAGAAAAAACTTAAGTTGGTAAAACAGACAAGACCAGCTGGCATCACAGAACCACAGAGTTGGAAAAGACCTCGGAAGTCACCTAATCCAACCTTTACATGAAGTATGACTCCTCTCTATGATATTCCCAGCAAATCATTTCTCCCTCCTCAGATTTCTTCTGACGCTTTGGACCTCTCCCTTATTTATAGTTACCATCTTCTAAATTGTATTCCATTTATTTGTGTACATGTCTTATTTTGCCTATTACTATAGGTCATCAGTTTCTCGAAGTTTGGGCTGTCATATTTACCTTCTGTGTCCATCTTTCTGTACATCCTCATGTTCTAGTATTCCTTAAATTGCACTGAAATGTTCATCAAAGCTGGAAGTTGAACACCTTCCATTTCAGGGAACCTCATAAAGCAACCCATGTTTGAGTGATTTTACTTTTCAGAAAGTTCTTACTTATATGAAGCCCAAGGTCTCCTTCCCCATTTTCTTCCCTCTGAGACCAAGCAGATAAAGCTGATCTGTTTTCCATTGGACAACCCAAAATAGCCCCAACTACCTTCTCTGGAGTTACCTAGTCAATGAAAACACAAGCTAAATTTTCTCTATTCATTCTAAAATTACACATTGATAATCTGGAAGCCCCAAAACTTAAAGGTGAAACCTTAGGTTCTGGTGGTTTGTTTATATTCTGATTAATTCTACTGGCATTACAGAGAAGCAATGCTTCAGGATTCCACTCCTCAACTGGAATTTTTAAAGCCAGGAAGAAGAAAGTTCTCACCTCCATAAATCTGAAGGCTACTCCTTTAAGATCTGTTTCCTATATTGGGGTATGAAAAGGAGACTCCATAGACATTGCTATGGAGACTATATTTAGATCAAATGTTATAGCATGGTTCTTTTTACTGTTGCGAAAATGGGAAAAGAAAGAATATTACTTAGACTGTTACAAAAAAGGCATTACAGGCAACCAGCCAACAGAAACCCAAATTCAAGTACTATGAAAGCTAATTTGTATCCTTATATTTGGTGACATTCTGCAAATGAATCAAAAAGAGTATTCTACTCTGCCACAGCTAGTAGCAAACATCAGCTCTCATTGGAATGCCCTGTTTTCATCCTGTAAATATGTAGTCTAGCAGGAAACATTAGTAGCGTGCTTGTCTGATTGACAATATAGAGGAGTGAATAGAGTAAGAAATGACTTGAATGAAAAAGCATTTATGGGACAGGTAGGTGGCCCAGTAGATGGAGCACCAGCCCTGGAATCAGGAGGACCTGAGTTCAAATCCTGTCCCTGACATTTGTTTTCCTACTCCTCCACAGCAGTCTTGCCCCTTCTTAGGTACCCCACTCTTCCCTACCCCACCTTTCTACTTCCTTTTTCTGTGTTGTCTCATCCCATTAAAATGTTGCCAATTATATTAATAGTTTTCCTCATATTGAACCAGCCCAGCATTCTGGGTATAAACCCAACCTAGTCATGATGTGTGATTTCTGTGATATGTCAGTGTAGCTCCTTTGCTAATATTTTATTAATATTTTATTTGAAAATTTTGCATCAGTATCATTAGGGATTGGTCTTTTGTTGTCTTTCTCTGTTTTGACTCTCCCTGGTTTAGATATCAAGACTATAGTTGCATTATAGAAGGAATTTAATAGATCTCTTTTCCTTACAAACGGTTCAATATTGAAATTAATTGTTCTTTTAATGTTGGTTAGCATTTACTTGTAAATCCATCTGGTCCCATGGTTTTCCCCCCTTTGGGAATTCATTTATGGCTTATTCAATTTGTTTTTCTTATAGTGGATTGCTCACATTCTCTATTTCTTATTCTATTAATCTGAGTACTTTTTCATTTTTTAAGTACACATTCATTTCACTTAACTTGTCTCAGAGTTTTGGGGTTGGTTTTTTTTTTGGTATATAGTTGTCAAAAGTTTCTCAGAATAACCTTCATTTCTTTTTTTTTATTTTTGATACTGATAATTTGGTTTTCCTGTTTTTTAAAAAAATCAAATTACCTAGGGCTTTATATATTTTGTTTTCCTTTTTAAATAGCTCCTAGTTTTATTAATGTTTTATTCAATTCATGCCACTGAAATGTCAGCTTCTTATATTTTAGGGCAGGGACTGTCATGCTTGCTTGTATTTGTACACCTGTTGCTCGGCATAGTATCTGGCACATAGTAAGCACTAAATAAATATTTATCTCATTGGAGGGAATAATTCATATGTTCTACCAACAAAACTGTAGTAAAAATAATTAAAACAAATGACTATAAATTGCTGCGTAAATGTTACCTCAAATGAACAGTAATTAGACACAGGTACCTGTTAGGAGACTAATGATGATTCCCACAAATAGAGTGACCAAAGTCCCAATGGTACTGAAGTGCATATATGATAAGGAATACCAATTATCCATTAGGGGAGTTCTAGAAGGGAAAAAAGGAGCTTTGTTATTTGTTTGTGACTCTCATGGCAAGAGTGAGGTACAAGCAATGGACAGTCCAAGTACTCCCATGGAATCCATGAAATCTTAAGAGACTGAGAGGAAGAACTCTATCTGCCCTTTTAGGTGCATGCCCCAGTGTGAAACTGATTGGTCAACAGAGACAAAAGTTAGCAGGACAAGAAGGCAGGGATCTGCATTGTTCTAGAACATTCCAACATAGATAGTATGCCAAATCCATTAAGGTATTTAAGCATCATCAGTCTAAAGCATATGTTACAAGACTGTAGATTTAAATGTAGATGGTGCCCTTAGACATTACTGAGTCTGATCCTCTCATTTTACGGGTGAAACCTAGAGACCTTAAGTGATTTATCCAACATCACACAGCTAGTGAATGGCAGAGCAGAGATTTAAACCTAAGACTCTAATTCAAAATCCTGTGAGCTTCCCAGAAGTCTTCTCTCTTCTTCCTGTACCTTGTGTAGTTGTTGGGTTTTTTTTTAAACAACATTTTAAAACCTATTTCAATACCTTTCGGCACTATGAACCTGCAAAGTACTTGTAGAAAATGGCATTTCTGTGGTTGTGGTCCAGTTCCCCTGGTGGTGGAAGTCAGTCATGTTACAGCCATCGGTAATGAGTCTCAAGGGTAAAGTCCTCTCCGGAAGGGGGGGATAGAGCTGAGCTCCAATTCCAATCCAAAGGGAAATGACAAATCCAGCAGTGACACCTACGAATGCTCCCTGCAAAACAGAAGTGCTTTTGAGAGTCAGGAAATTAGTTGGCTGTTGTCCTTCATTCTCAAAAAGGACCAAAATGATATCACTACGTTGGGGTCAAGGTACAATGTGTCCGACTGTGTGATCTTGCAAGGTTCTACCACGAATCAGACACTAACTGTCCATAATGATATTTGGAGTGGAGATGTCTCTAAATTTGTATGTCTCACATCAGAAATAGTTCTTTTTGGAAAGGAAAAGAAATGGGTAGGATATTGATCACAAAAAAAAGAACCTTTCTCACAAAATAGCTATTCCGAAATGGAATGGTCTGCCTTGGGGAATAGTGGGTTCCCCCATGCTAGAGGTCTGCAAATAAAGACTTGATCACCATTCCTTGGTAAGTTTGGATAGGAAATTTTGTTATATATTATCTCATTTGTTTCTCACAACTAACCTATAGAATAGTTAAGAAAAAAACAGTAGTATTAATGTTAATAATAATAATAATAACTGAGCATTTATATAATGCTTTAAAGTTTGCAAAGTGCCTTATAAATGTTACCTCATTTTAGCCTCACAACAACTCTGGATATAGGTACTATTATTATCCCCATTTTACAGACAAGGGAATTGCAGCACAAGTAAATGATGGATTAGCTCCATTTTACAGATGTGAGGTTAAAGGACTTTTTTGTTATTCTATGATCCCAGTTGGGTCAACAAAAGAATTTCTAAACTCCAAGAAAAGCCACCAACATGAACTATCATGGGTTACATTTTTACCAGTGAGAAAAATTGCTAATTAACACTGTACTTTAGGGAAAGATCTTATGTTCACTTTTATCCTTTATACTTACCATTGAGTTGACAAAGGGAGTCAATATGCCCAGAGAAAACAAACCCAAAAGGGGCCCACCAATGATACCAAAGATACTGATAGCTGCCTAAGGACAGAATAAAAAAGTCACAAATTAGTTGTAAGATCCCCACTTTCAAAACAATTAGTTACGTCTCCAATATGGAGAGGAAACAAGGGTAGAGATATACTAATAGTCTGGCTTTCTTAAAATGGAAACAAAGGATTTTATGGAGGTCAGTGAATACAGGTGTGTTGGTAAATGTTTCTAAACAACTGACACACATACATACATACATTTATATATACACACACATAAATATAATGTATTGTGAGAAACGAATGTTTCTCTATTGTATTTAATAACTAATTAGTGAATCAGAACCAGGGTTTTCCCCCTTTTCTACTTCCCCATCCAGAAAGCAACCAGTGTGAGAAATCTCTCTTAAAGATTTACTCAGGCCAAGATCTAATCAGACAATAAAAGAAATTCTCAGTTTGAGTTAATGTGTGTATTCCTGCTCACTGTGTTTGCTCAGACAGGTCTGGGGAAGTGCTGATTCTACCTTTTGTCGAGACAGGTAATATGGAAATTGATGTCTCTTTGACCAAAATTCGGGTATCCCAAGACTCTCATTTTAATATAGCCCACCCCCCACATTGTGTTAACCAATCAGAGTTGAGTGGTACCCTTCAGGAACAACTACTTTTTGAAAGGCATATGAACTGTGAGCCCACAACAATGAGATGTCTTTGGTCTAAGACAGATGGTCATATAACCATCTTTTTATTAATAAACATGGTGGCCTTATTAATAAAATGATTAAATTACCCAGAAACTATATCGAACATTTTAATAGCCACAGTATATATTTATATTGTATATTAATTTGTTTGTATGCATAATTTTATTATGCTATTATATATATTGTATTAGTATTCTCAGCACCTGGCACAGTGCCTCACACATACAGGACCCTTAATAAATGCTTGTTAATCGATAATTAAGGTTAAAAAAAAAAGGAACGCAAGGGTGACTGCTCACCACTGAGCCTACTACAGAACTGCAGGTCTATTCTTACCTGTAACAAAAACCCAATAAGCGATGCCAGGGCGCCATTCCCATGCACAGAGCTCCAAACAACACACCTGGGGGAACAGATTGAAAGTCAGGCTTAGAGCCTAACGTACCTAATGAATATTCCCAGTGTAATACATTCATCACAGCTTCCAAACAAGGTGATGATCAGACTGGGTCCAAGGATGGCCAGAGAGATCAAAGCAAGCAAAGGGGTTAAAAATGGGGTGTGTGTTTCCTATAGGAAAAGCAATGTGCAAAGATGATAAATAAAACCCTTGTGCTGTGCTTAAGGATTAGTTGAAACACTAGATTATATTGAGTAAAGAATCCCTGGAATTAACTGTGGAGATCCTAAGCCTATGGACTATTATTAGTCTAATCCTTCACAAACATTTGTACTTAAGGGAAACTTAATGTCACTTTTTTTTTTAAGTTTACCAGTAACAGAGTACTTTTATTCAAAACTACTTTGTTTAACTAGATGTCAGGGAAGAAGGAGAGAAAGGATTAGATTTGTGATTTTATTTTTATAGAGACTTACCATGTGGAAACTCTCTAACATTGGCATTGCTATGATTGGATTAAATATTTAAAATATTAAAATCTAAATTTTCTGACTAAGGGTTTAGGGGAGCAAATATGAATCAGTTATAATCTGTATCCTTGGGCAGCTAGGTGGCACAGTGGATAGAGCACCGGCCCTGAAGTCAGGAGAACCTGAGTTCAAATACAGCCTCAGACCAAACACTTGACACTTACTAACTGTGTGACCCTGGGCAAGTCACTTAACCCCAATTGCCTTTAAAAAGAATAAAATAAAATAATCTGTATCCTTTCAAGGAGTCATCATTATCAATGAGATCACAAGTCCACTTTCTTTTTTTTTAAATTTTTTATGTCTTTATTGACATTCTGTTTCTTACATGATCTTAGTATCTCATGTATCCCTCTCCCTACCTCTCTCAGAAGAATATAGTAGAGAAAGAATGACTCAAAATTGAATGGATCTTATTATCTCTCAAATTGATGTATTTCTGAAAAGAACTATACAAACATAAAAATGTGGGTAGTAGAAGCAGGAATCCTACAAATCTCACTCTTATTTGAACTAGAAAAAAAGTGTTGTATATACACCCCTCCCAACACATACTCAAAGAATTTGGTGCAGAAATAAATTAAAGCAACTATCTCTACATACCCTATTTTCTATATCAATTGTTTTTAGTAGTAGATATCTTAACATTTTCTTCTGTTCTGGTCTTTTGCTTTGCTCTGGTATTTCTTATTGTCTCATTGAATTATTGATCCTTGGGAGTGGCAATAACCCTCAGACCACTGGTCCTGCTTCCACATGAACCCTCACAGCCATCATCCTAAAAAGCAATTCTTGTGGAGGAGTCAGCCATCTCTCCCAACTTCCAACCAACTTCCACATACAGAGCAGTCAAGTCAGCTTAGCTGAAGCAACAAGGCACCCTGAAGGGGACACAGGAGGCAATGTGTTCCAGAGAAGCCAAAACACCCCTACCTGCTTGACCACTGGCTCTCTTTGTACTCTACTAGAGACAGACCAGAAACCTGAATCCGAGAGCCTAGAGAAATAACAATGCTTCTAGCTCAATGCCTACAGCCATCATCCATAGAAGCAACCATCACAGAGATTCAACCTGCTCATCTAGGAACTACAGCCACAGCTACTGGAGACCTAAAAAAGAAATTCTTGTCACCAAAGTCCTCGATGCTGTTCAAAGGTTCAGCATCAGAAGCTGATATGAATTTATCAAGTGGAATGGCATTAAAGAAGAGGCATTACCTGCTTTGCTGCAGGTAATAAAGCTTACAACATTCCACCCTTGGTCTCAGTCCTATCATGGCCACACCAGGACTAAAACCACATATTATGCTTAATAGCAAATAATTCAAAGATCCATTCTAAGTGGATTCTAAAGGATTTTGGACCCTAAGGACCATTCAAATATCCATTCTAAAGGCTTCTGAACCCTAAGGACTATGGAACCATCTGACTTATAGCTGAATGCTTCCATATGTATTGTCTCTCAGACTAGAATGTAAGCTCCTTGAGAGCAGAGACTGATTTACTGTTCTGTTTGTGTCCCCTTATGCTTTGCATGTAGTAAGCACTTAATAAATTTTTTTTAATATATTAATTCTTTGATCCATTCTATTTTTCCAAGAATTCACTATTTGGTAAAGTTTTCTACCTTCTTTTCTATGTTGTGTATTCTCTTTCCAAGTGTTCTAATTTCATTCAGTCTTATTTCAGCTCTTCTTTCATTCTTCTATCTAGTTAGA